TTGATGATTATGCAGAATCTGAAATACTCCCCTTCGGGGAGAATTACTCAAAAATGTCAGTGGGCCGATATGGTATGACTTTAGGTAAATTCAGCCTAGAGGGTGCTGTACTCAATCTTTCAAGATTCTAGGGCGAAAATGATCGTGCAAACACATATAATGAGGCCGCAACATCTGTTCTAACCATCATACAGATGGTTTCAGAAGCAATAAGGTTCCCTGCGATACGAGTACTTTTGCGAGACAACTACAATACTTTCACAGAATTGCCAAATGATTTGGTTATTGAGCAAAATAAATGGTCTGGAATGTCTCTTGAACTGATAGAAACTACATGGCAGTGAACCTGGACACATTCCTGAAATAGGAGAAGATCTTCCGACACTGGAAATTTCAATGTGGCTTCATCCTTCAGATTGTGTCCTGAGACCAAAAAACGCGTCTCTGAGTTCTGTCAGAACATGGACATGTTAATATAGCTGATGCAAACTGCTTATTTCTATAGACACCACTAAAGTGGTTGTACATTCTATGAATTTAAAGTGTGGAATTGTATAGTTTTCATACCGAGTGAATCCGATTCCCTTCCCATGATAATTTTCATCATGACATACAAAGAATGAGTCTATTGTTAGTGATTAGGATTTTAGGCCACTCTAGAGATCTTTCAACAAATGCATTATCACAAACCAAACGACTATGATACAGAGACGCGCATTTTCTAGAATGAGTCTAATGCTATATTTTCTTTTGGAACAAACTGTTTTGTTGTGTTACTAATGTTTTGTTTCTCATTAGAAATGCAAAAGAAATAAATAATTGGCCTTAAAATGCCTTTTATTTATGGTCATCCCCTAACAAAAAACCTTTTGTTAAATCACCTTTTATTAATGGCTTTGAAATAGCTTGTGTTAATTTGTCATTGCATTTGTAGAGAAGAGGATGAAATGAATTTTGCTTCTTCATTTTTTCAATTTATCCAAAGAGAAAAGTTAAAAAAAGACTCGTGTCAAATTATCTCTTTGCCTATTGTACAGGACTATCTTAACAACATTTATCAAGTTCAGTTTTTGTTTTTATATAGCCTAAATTTCTGATCTAATGCACTAATGATATATACATTTGGATTATTTTAATAGTTTCTCCAAGCTAAAGTAATTGCATGATAAATAACTGATTGCTTTTGTTGATATATGTTTACAACTGAATCATTTGATTTCAATATTGGTGTCATTACTTGGAGAATCAGTTAGGCATTATGAAGAGGTCTATATGATCTAGATTAACAGGTGTACCGTGTACGTAGCAGAACAAGCTCAAAAAAGTACAGCTTTGAACAATAAGGAAAAAAAAGGGGTATGAGGAAAAGGCTCATAATGGGTGGTGAAGATGCATACATGAGTTTCTTTTGAAGCTTTGAGTGTTGCTGCTAACTACTAAAGGGTGGATTCCTTTATATATAAAATCCATAGAATGTACAATCATTTGAGTGGTGTCTAGAAATAAGCAGTTGTAATGGATTGTTTACCTTGTAGTTGATGTATTATTTTGTCTCATATTTTGTGAATTTAGATATACTTCTTCATGGTAGACACACTTGGTCTTGCTTTATATGGAGTATGTTACAGGTGTTGACTTTATTATTTCGTCATCGATTAACATATACAACCTCCACTGCTAAAAGAATACCTGTTACTAATCTTTGGTCAATTCAAATACGGAGTAGTTTTTAATTTTTTACTTTGTATATTCAACTTATCAAATTTGATTTTTTGCAACTTTAAAAAACTTTTAATGTATTTTCTAAATATGTAAGTTGTATTTGTTAAAAACAATATGAGTTTCAAGTAACCAATTAACTTTATCGTCACTTAAACTTAGGGGTGGGCATGGGTCGGGACGGTTCGGGATTAGGGTTATCCCGGTCCCGTCCCAATTAATAATAACGGGACGGTACGGTACGGGACAAGCCTTTGTCCTAGTCTTGTCCCATTTAAATCGGGACCGGGATGGTTCGGGACGGTTCGAGACGTCCCAAACTAACAAAAAATAATCATTTGTAATTAATATATATTAGCATTTCTAAAGTATCATGCACCAAAATATTAATATTTTAAAAGTTAATTGATGTTCATCACAAGCTAAAAGCTACTACTTATTAGATTTTAGTTAGGTTTAGCAAAATTTGAAATTTAAATTTAAAGCAAAGCAAAAATGAATTAGTTTATTCAAAATCATGTGTTCTAGTTGTGAGATACTCATATGTAGATATATAAAGTGAGATAAAAATCTATGTTAGTAAATATTCATGTTAGGTATTATTTTTAATTTAAAAATTGGGCTTGAAGAACTAAAAACATGTTACCATTTATTTTTTGAGTTGACATTACACACTAGTCACATGCTACAAAATCTATATAGTTATTACAAACGGGACAACGGGACGGTTCGGGATAACCTTCCAATGTCCCGGTCCCGTCCTGTTTTAAACCGGTACGGGACCGGTGCGGGACAAAATCAATGAGACCCAAACGGAACGGGACAACACCGGTACGGTTTCGGGATATACCGGAATGGGACAACGGGACCGGGATTCTTGCCCACCCCTAACTTCATAAACTGATGCAAGTCTTTTTTAAGGGATGGTATTATGTAATTGACCATTACTTAGAAAATAAGATTGTGAAATTGTTCTTTATTTATTTAGATAAGAAAGAAAATGTATTGGTCATCTAAAATTACATTTAGAGAGTAAATGTAATTACCCACATACTCATTTTATGTTTTTGGTTTTACTCCAAAGCATGAAATTAAAGTATAGGTCATCTGAAGATATATTCTCTTTGTAGTTCATGTAACGCACGGGTGGAAATACTAGTATAGCTTAAAGTAATAACAAAAATGTGGGAAAATGGAACCTACTAAGTTCTTATGATTCTACCTTCTAAACTGCACAAATAAATCAACGGAATTATAAATCATGTATGTTATCATTGTGTAGTATGGGTCTAGTAATTCTAGTTCATTTTATATGTCTAATAGCTAGTTGGACGTTACTAAAAATAAACACAAAATTTAGAGAAATTTAAATATAATATATCAAATAATAATAGATGTATTGTTAATAATAAAAAATAAAATAATAAAAAATAGGGAAAATGGAAATTAATAATCCAACATTTTAGCGGTTTTCTTACAATACTCTCACCTTTTCGTTATTCAAAAATAATTCAACCTTTGCACCTCATCTTCATTCACTGATCTCTAACCGGTTGATGACCTGCTACTCCAAGTTATTTTCTTATGTTTACAAATCATTATACCATAAATCTCATCTTTCACAAAGATAATATTTTGAAAAGATAAGAAAATAATTTGGAATAGTAGGTCATTAACCGGTCAGGGACCAGCGAATGAAGATGAGGTGCAAAGGTTGAATTATTCTTGAATAACGAAAATGTAGGACTATTGTAAGAAGATTGCTAAAAGGTTGGATTATTAGTTTCCATTTTTCCTAAAAAAAAAATATATGCTAGAAATGATTTGGGATGACCAATACATCAAGAGCTCGTTTAGTAACACGGAAAATGATTGAATCGACTAAATTATGAAAATAAACTATTTTATTAATAGAAAAAAGAAAAAGTATGAACAATATATTAGAATAATTATCTCAATCAATTTCAGATAATTCAAGCAGAAAAATAACCCCAACGTTATTTATTTTGATTAGTTTGCCATTCAAAGCGCAAACTAAAAAAATTAGGAGTTTGGTAAAAAAAAACTGACCAATGAGATCTATAAGCAAGAAATAGAAGCTACGAAAATGCTTTAAAAGTGTAACTCGATTCCATCGAGTTTGAGATCAATTTGGTGCAGGAAAAGATCATCTTGTTTAGAACACCTTAATCGATTCAGTAACATTATGGTCCAAACGAATACCATGTTTTTTTGTTTTTTTACTCGCATTTTTATTCTATTATTTGTAATAGGGCTGGACTCGATTCGGGCCGGGCCCGGTTCGGGCCTTGAACCGGCCGGGCCTCGGTTCACCAAAAGGAGGGCCCGGACCCGAACCGGCGGTGACCGGTTCCGGGCCAGACCGGGCCGGTTCACCCGCCCTATTTTTTTTTTTTTTTTTTTTTTTTTTTGATTTTTTGGCTTCTCTTATTTAACCCCCTACCCCTCCCCCTCAACCCCAAACCACCCCAAACCACCTCAAATTGTCCAAAATACCTAATCCAACCCAAAAATTAAAAAAATTTCAAAAAAAAATAAAAAAAAATTAATTCCGGCCCGGACCGGGCCCGAACCGGCCGGGCCGGTTCACCAAATGGAGGGCCCGGGCCCGGAACCGGTATTCACCGGGACGGTTCGACCCGAACCGCCGGTGGACCGGGCTACCGGGCCGGTTGCTACAGTGGGCGGGCCGGGCCGGTTCCGGGTCGGGCCGCCCGGCCTGAGTCCAGCCCTAATTTGTAACATATGTTTTCTGGAGAAGTACTTCATTATTTGTTCCATTTCCAAATGGATACTTTTGTGGTTCTAAATTACATAGAGGAAAAGTTGATGGAATGCATAGAGGAAAAGGAAAGATGAGAAAATTGTGTTAAAATGAAGCCAAAAATGCGTTTGCATTATTGCACAACAATTTTGGACCTAATTTTTGAAATGGAAACACAATATATTAACTTGCCATGAATTTTAATTTCAACTCTTGGATCATTTCCCCCCATCAAAATGGCCCCAAATAATCCGAGTTGCCTAATTTACCAAATGAATAATTTATTTTATTTGAAACGGCTGATAGCCGTTGGCGACACTGCAAGATGAAAGTGCATGGCCTGTATTGCACGAGCCATCCACGGTCGCCATGCACAAAGCAGGCAATGGGCCCCACCCATCCTTGACTCCTTTTCCGTTTCAAGTTGTAGGGGGTTACACCTGCTTAGAATTGTTTACATTCTACATGCTCTGTTTCACTAGCCGGAAGAACGGAAGGAAAATGCGTGTTTCAGACAAAATTCGGTGAATTAGGAATTGGACCAGAGTTAGTCAACTAGGGGTGACTATGAATCTATGCCAGATAATTACAATCAATGGTAGGAATAATTACAACGGGTTTGAAGTTTACAAGCTGGATATTTGATCTGAACCAATATCGGCAGACCAGATGGGTGAATTCTTAAGCTGGTACTCAAACGATTCTGCCAATCCAATGGCATCATGTACCCTAAGCCGGGTGCCTTGCTGCCCTACAACTACGGATGCAACCTTAGCTGCAAGGGTACCCATGACCTTCAAGTTGGGTACACCACGAAGCATCCCATACAAAAAGCCTGATGCGTAAGCATCACCTGCACCACAAGTATCTAATGGCATGCATGGGGAAGGAGGAATAAAAATAGCTTCCCCCTTTACACCAATGTAGGAGCCTCTTGGACCGTCTGTAACTGAAACTAATGGAACAAAATGGCTTAGGTACCTCACCGCAGATACGGGGCTTTCATTTGACTTAAAATGACACATAGCCTGGGCTTCGTCACTATTTGCAAATACAATGTCCCCAAAGTTTGCAACAATTTCCCTGCTCAAATAACATTATATACATATTATTACTTTCATAATTGACAAAAATCAAAATTTAGAGTTTCATCCTAAAAAGGGGGCAACAGCCCAAGACATTATACGGAGTATATTGATATATTTCATAATTGACAGTTGACAATGTAGGAAGACTTAACATGTCCTGCCACAATATGGGTTCCCTGAGACAAACCAATATTTAAGCGTGTACTCATCCTTTATGTTTATCGGCCACGACTGGCTTGTTTGAATACATGCTCTTAGATTATGTTAAAAGTATTTAATCTTAAAAAATCATCCTCAACCAACTTATAAAAAGAACAGCCTTATTGTTGTGTCGAGGCTCCACACTTTCTCACTCAAATTTGAGCTCACGTCCCATCTTTGAAATCATTAATATTCACACCCCATCTTTTCTTCTGAATTGAAGCTTGCTCCCCATTTGGGTGAAAATATTAATTATTTCAAAATTAGGGTGCAAATTCCAATTTATATGAAAAAGTATGGTCTAGTTCCCTGTGAAAAAAGGGTCAAGAGAGAAGGCTTACCAGAAATCATCGTAGTGCCGCTCGATGCAAGAGACGTCAGAAGCTGTGATGGCAATTAGTGTACCAGACTTACGGGCATCATCACATGCTTTTGTGATCGTTTTTACTGTATCAGGGAGTTCAAATAAATATCCCTCTACAACTAATATGTTTGTTTTTGAGATTGCTCTAGCCAAGAAGGGCTCATATCTAATGGTTGAAGATGTACCCTAGAACACGAGCATGAAAAGAACAAAAGGTAAGATCAAAAGAGTGAATAGAGATAAGATACATTCAATTTCTCATGTAAATATGTAATCAATCCTAATATCTTATAATACTAGATTAGAGGTTCTTGGAATTGGAAAAACACAAAAGAATGTTTGAATCACTGAAAAAGTTAGGGAAAGGGAAAAACATGCATGCAAGTTATTTGATTATACTTTCCATGTATTATAGGAAATCCAAAAGTAAATTAAATATTCCGTATAACTTTTTTCATTACCTAGTGTTTATAAAATATACTCCGTACAAAATAAATAAATTAAGTATCAACAAGTATCTAAAGTAAATCTGTCGACTTGTGCTGTTTTTGTGTACGTTTTTATTTCCTCCCACATTTTATTGTCTTCCAAACAGATACTAAAGCTTCAGAAGCTTCCTACAAACAAGAGAAAAAATTCCATCACCTTCATAACTTTTGGACAAAACAGGAAAGCAAAAATGCAATTGCTTAGTGGCAACTTATTTTAGGTTCACATGCTAATTAAAATCAACCATTTATGGGTGTAAATACTAAAAGGGATTTAATTTCTTAAAGCCAAAACAGTGAAAGAACAAAACCTACCTGATATGCAAGCATCGTGCGCTGAGCATCTGGTGTTGTGAGAACTATAACAGTTCCCGTCGTTCCATCTTTGATCGATGTGGATAAAAAATTCACATTTGCTCGCCGCAGTTTGGATCTAGACCAGATAAACTTGCCATTATTTAATGAAAAGAATGACAAATACATTACTAAAATAAAAATAATGGACAAAAGTATGGCTTTTAACATGCAATATCCATAGTGTTATTTCATGGTGACTGTAGTGACCACACTCCAATGTCAAATTCCCACTCCACTGACCATGATTATACTTTTGCAAATTGCAATGACTGTAGGTCAGTAGTGACCATGTAGTCATATTTGCGCCAATGAGTTCTATTTTGGTAATATTACACGAGAAGTGGAAAACCCCCCTTTTTTGTATTTAAAGATAACAAAATGCAAAGTTGAGAGCGGACCTGTAGAATCCACCCAGTGGATCACTTCCAACACTGCCTGCCATGGCTATATTCAAAGGTGGTCCTCCTATAGGTTGAAGACCGAGCCTGGCCAATGCCACCAGACTATTGGAAAGGGACCCACCAGCAGCAGCCTTGTAACTGCACCCATCCATTGCACGCAGGATTTTACCCCTCTCCTCATGGTTCACAACCTTCCTTGTACCCTTTTCTAATCCAAGTCTCTCCAGAAAGTTTTCATCAACCATGCCCGAGAAATCAACCTAGCATCTCAAAAGGGGGAAAATATATGACTACTTGAGATGTTTGGACCCTGGTAAATTCTAGAGAAAGGAAACAAAAATGTTAAGGGAAGTTATTTTATAGTGTTTGATTTACCCGGAAACTGCAAAAGTAATAAAATTTGATTAATGTGTTTATAACTTCTACATATATTTGGATGAGATTCAGGACTTTTATGTAATACGGAGTACAAATAAATAAATAAATAAATAAATAAATAAGTAGGTAAATAATTAAATAGATAAATAAAATGAGTTTGAACACATGAAAAATTAATTTATTAAGTTCGAGTCTATCTTTTACGTTCTCCCAAATTTTCTTTCCTTGCAATTATTTTTCGTTTTCCAAACAGAGTTACAGACACCTAAATATATACTAGTAATTACTCACAGTATTAGCTGTGCCCCTCAACTATTAATAGATAGAATTATTTCAGAAACCACGCAAATAGACATATAGTATACCAATTGAAGTTTCTAGACATTATTAGCAATCAGAGATGTAAGACTGAATGCTCAAAGAATATATTAAACCATTGGAAATGTTCTGAATTAAAGCATATTTACCAGGTTTACAACGCACACTGATCTCATTAACAGAACTAATCTTGAGAAAGAAAAGAAATAATTCACATGTACAATAGTTTATATACACAGTTCTGGCATGCCATTTCATTGGGAAATTTGTTAGCTTGTGAACATCTCTAGCATTGCAGGACACAGGGGTTGCAAGGATTTACAAAACAATTCATCAGAAAACAAATAGCAATTTGGTTAAATTCTACATTTCCATTTTCCACTTTTAGGTTTACCCCTAATTTATCACCAACATCAAAGTCAAATACTACACTCATATATAAGAAATGATTTGAATTACACAGGGTAAAAATGGAATTCAAGGTAAGCAGATTGTTTCCAAAAAACATTCATCTACTTGAACAAACTCTTTCAGCTCGCAATGGGATGAACATGAATAGGTAAAAGCAAGGGGCGTAAGCTAATGTACAATGGAGGAATAGAAAAATCACCATAGCTTGACCGAGGCCCAACACATCCCATCTCTGAGAAAGAACGGAAGTGGGACAACAATCATCTTCCATATCCATATTCATGTCCATATCATGAGCAGTCACTTCATCATGCTCTTCATCATCAGAATCTTCATCCTCCTCCCCTTCATTTGCGCTGGAGAACTGGTTCCCGCTTCTGTCGCGGGAATTCGGCCGGAAAGAGGGGGACGACGGCGAGGCTCTACACGAGAGGGCGTCTTTAACACCGGTCGACATGGAATAAGAAAATTTGTTAGGATTAACGAAAAGTGAAGAATAATCAGGAAAAAGCGGAAGAGAATGCGAATTCTCAAAGTGATGGAAATGGGGTTTAATTAAAAGAGGATAAATAGTGGGAGGCGGAGATGAAAGTTCGGAATTGCGAAGAGAGAAGCATGAGGATGAGAGGATTGCGAAAGACATGGTTTTCTTTCTACAATTGAAATTGAAAAAAAGAAAAGGAAGGAATCTGCTGGTTGAAATTTCAGGAACGGAATCTATGGATTGAGGATAAAGCGACACGTAGCTCCATTCAAATCTCCATAGCAGATGTCCAGGGAATAGACCCATGGACATGGATGGATATGGTCATACTTCGTACGGAGTATGTTGGGTAAGGATTTAGGAAGAAGCTACCCGCTATTTAGAGCGCAATAACTCATGCCCTATATTTTGAATTTTTGAGCTCATAGGTTATGCGGGGTGTTTGGAACTTATTCGGTTTGTTTTTTAAAAACAGAAACACAAACAGCTCCTTTATATTTTAAGGGGTGTTTGGAACTGATTTCGTTTCTCCTTCTTTTTTAAAGCAGAATTAGAATCAGTTTTCAGAAACTGGTTACTCCCAGCTTCTAAAAAAACTGATTCTCATGGTAAATTAAAACCCCAAAATCACTTTTGCATTTTCACTCATACACTCCAACTTCTGCTTCTGCTCGCTGAAAGAGTAGAAGCGGTTTTAAGAATCAGATCCAAACACCCCCTAAATAAAGTTATTCTCTCTAGGGTTTAGTGGCCGCTAGAGGTGTTTTCCGTTTTCGATTTCGATCGAAGAACGACGCTCAGTTTCTCGCAAGCGGCAGTAATCGAATTGCGTCGAGGTCTGTCGAGTGCTCGACAGCTTTTTGTTCGGTCTTGGCCGACATAGACAGAGGGGAAGAAAAGCATTCGAAGGGGCTGTTTTTTATGGATGATATCGTCAATAATTATAAGAAGATGGCTATCGGTGAGGAAGACAACGAACTCAATTTTGATGACGAGAAAGCAGGGGAGATTGATGCACCTGATGAAAGAATGGAGTTTCCGATTGTCGGAGTCGTGATTATGGACCGCAAAATCAAATTTCAGGTATTCAAGGAGCTTTTGGCTTCAATCTGGCGGCCGGGAAAGGGATTTCTATCAAAGAAATTGGTGATAAAAGGTACATTTTCACTTTCTATCATATTGTGGATATGTATCGTGTGCTTGAGGATGATCCTTGGTTGTTTGAGAGAGATTTACTACTCTTAAAAGCAGTTCAGCCAGATGATACACGGGAAATATCAAATACTTTCATATATCCATTTTAATCTTCTACTTTATTCAATTATTCTCACATGCTTAATAGGCAGTCACTCTAACTCTTAATGTTTCCGCTTCAATCAGTGACCAACTCGCCTTTGTAATGTGGGTGCAGCGTTTAATAAATGCATCATTGCAGTCCCGTCCAATCTAACCAAAGCTTACCATCTTGATGTGGAATCAATAGCCGCATCAACATTGATCTTATTCCAATCACGTTTCGATTTTTTGTCACCTGACCTCCATACCATACAAGCCAAGAACAAATTCTTCTTCTTCTCCTTCTCCTCCTCCTCCTCCTCCTCCTTCTTTCTTCTGACACAGGCGTACGGACAGATGGAGATGGAAGAGGGGGTGAATTTTTGGTCGTGGAACCTATGGTGCAGAGCTCTTCTAGTCACAACCTCGTCCAGGTAGGAACAATTACGTTGGAAAAATCTGTACGTTTCAATATGTTTTTAGATATTATGGCATATGTATGGAAACCTGTGAAAGGCATCACCATAAAAGAGATATGGCCTAGAAGATATACGTAGTATGTTTCAATTTTATGATGAGGATGATATGAGTAGGGTAGTTGAAGAGGGACCATGGATATTTGATTACAACTTTTTTTTTTATGAGTAACTTGAAAGGAGGAGATCTTCTCATGCATATTCCACTAAATAGAGCCGACAATTGGATTGAAGTCCATGACATATTGGTAGGTTATTTTACCATAGCTAATGCTGAACGAATTGGGAATTCTTAGGACAGTTCATAAAAGTGAAGAGAAAAGGGGCAAATAAGCCCATGTACTAATAAAAAAGGTCAAATAAGCCCTTATATTGGAGGCTCTGTCCGGTCGTCGCCATTTGAGGGGTTTTCGGTGGATTTTTTTTATGAAATTTTTTAAGCATCTTATTCATTAAGTCTAGTTTACTCATACCAAATTTCAGCTAAAACTTCAATCGGGAAAGCATTCAAATATAAAATCTTGAAGATAATTGCGCAGTTATCTTCAAAAATTCATTTAAATGTCTTCCCGATTGAATTGTTAGCTGGAATTTGGTATGAGTAAACTAGACTTAATGAATAAGATGCTCAAATGGCGACGGCCATATAGAATCTCCTATATAAGGGCTTATTTGACCTTTTTTGATTAGTATGTGGCCTATTTGCCCCTTTCCCTAAAAGTGAATGACCCATTTTTCTGTAAAATGGATTCCCTTTATGAGAATTCGTGTCAGCCTTGATCTGAGAAAACCTTTAAAACAAAAACCGTTCTTGCAAAAGGAGGGAAGCAACTATTGTGTCAAACTTTCGATATGAGAAATTGTCAAGCTTTTGTTTTCTATGTGGGATAATAGGACAAGCAGAAAGTCATTGTTCTCGTAAGAGGGTAGACAACGTGAGAGAGAACAAATGGCTTATCCTAGCGGGTAAAGGGCTCAACATTAATGACTAGGCCGATCTCTGTGGCGGTGTTGATGACAAACATGTGGGCACGTTGGAAGGCGGGTCTCTACAAGGTGGGGTGGGGGGAGGGAGAGCTTGAATAGAAGCGCATACGTGTGGAGGAGTCATTAGGTCATGATTATAGCGAGAAAATGGAGATAGAGCACGCCCGAGCAAAAAAATGGGTAAGAGGCGAGCTACAACTTTGTGGCTGGCCAAACACATATCCGAGCTCCATCCAAACACGGCACGTGGGCCTTAAGACAATTTACTTTAATATTGTTGCGTTTATGTCTTTTCTTTCAAGTACTTTTGCATTGCCATTCTTGTGGACAATAGTGGTAGGTTCCTCGTTTGTGTTTTCACTGTTCGAGTTAGTTTTGTCGATGGAAGCGATAAGACTGGTATGGTCTGTAAAAGCTTCAAAGCTCTCACATGGTTAGTGAATAGTCTCACTCATTATTGGGCAGTCTATTCTGTGTCTAATCAGAGAGTGAAAGGGTCGTTTGGCTGTGCGAAACCTCATAGGGATGTTTGGCTTCTTTTGATTGTGGGGACGCTGTTTTCTTTGATATTTATGATATAAGAAGTTTCCTTAAAAAGATTTGTTTTGGATTTTTGAGTGCTTTTTTTTGTGGTTGTTAGGTGGGGTTAGATTCAAGGGATTTTGATAGATAGTGCTAATAATGATGATGTTTTTACTTAATTTACTGGTTTGGTCTGGTCTGGTATAGCCCGAACTGGTCTGGTAATGTCTGATCTCTTTGTATTTTTAGGATGTTTTTACTTGGACTGTAATCTGTCCCAGACCAGACCAGACCAGACACGACTTGGATACTTATAAAAGTACAAAGAAACCAGACATGACCAGACCAGACCAGTTCAGACTAGACCAGACCAGACCAACAAATTATAGTTCAAGTAAAAACATCCTTATAATTATCCAAGTCTAGTCTGGTCTGTCCGAGACATATTATAGTAAGTTTTTATTTTATTCATTAATAAAAAATATTTTAAATATAATTTTTCATTAATCAACAAAATCAGCCAATACAGCACTTCAGCCAGAACTTCATCAATTTCAGCAGAATCAACCAATTCAGTCAATTTTAATGTTACCAAACGGCTCTTTGTATCGGACGAACCATGTTACTTTTCATGGATTATAGACTCGATATCTATTCCTAAATTTAGCAATCCGCTGGTCAGTTGTAATTGTCTGGATATATTATTCTCTATGTTCTTGTTGAGGTTTGGATTTTTTTTCCCGCGTTGATTCTTATTCCAGGCTGATGAACTATTGGGAATTAATTACTGGTATAAGGAGTACTCCGTATTACACAGCCTGAAGACACCCTAGCGCAGCTAATGTTGATTTGATTGGAGAATGATTAATAGAATGAAAAAAGGCTGTCACCACTTTTTTTCAAAGTCAATCGAAACATGCTGTATCTTCATACGGAGTAAACAACAAATAAAACAAAAGCTCGATCATATAATTATGTGAGTATTACATTAATTACAATGTGATTTACGTTATGTGATTACTAATTTAATAGTCCCTTCGTCTCAATACATATTTTTGTTGCATGAACCAATGCGAATGAAATAAGCAGGGCCGTCTCCAGGAGTTTTGGTGCCCCAGACAAAGAATGACTAATGGGATCAAATAGTACTTAAAATTAATCCTAAAATAATAACAGAATTAAATATGAAATTATTAGAAAATCATACCACCATTTTTACATAATGTAAAAGGTATTACTTGACAAAAAATTGATATAAAGTATATGAAAATATAAATTCTTCTAAGAAATAAATAAAATTATAAAAGTACTACCTAAATAACCTATTCTACTTGCGTTTTGGTGTGCAAAATTTGTAAGTACATCACTACGATTAAGAGTAGATAATACTTTTTTTCTATGGATAACAAAGCGAGTTCACTTAACCTCTCTTGTGACATTGTAGACACTCAAAATAATAAATTAGCACTAATTATTAGTTATATTACAAATTAGTAAATACTCCCTCCGTTCTCTAATACATGGGAGTATAGAGTTTGACACAAGTTTTCAGGGGAAAATAATAAGGGTAGTGTAAAAGGTGTAGTGGGTTGTGTTTGAATGAAAAAGTAAGAAAGAGAATGAGAGTATATAAGTATATTTATTCAAAAAAATTTACAAAAATGGAAAAAGGGACAAATATTAAAGAACACCCCAAAATAGAAAGTGAGACATCTAGTAGAGAACGGAGGGAGTACTAAATACGAAAATACAGTTTAAAAATAACAAGCTTCCAGTTTGATAAAATTAATAAATGATAATTTTATGCGGATTGCGGAATTGCTAATTGTGGAAGAATTGAAGAATTTAAAGTTTTGAATATAAGGAATTATTATACAATGCTGATGAAATCTCAAATTTAAAGGCTGGATAATCTGGTCACTCATTACCTGGATTGGCAGATTGCTGGAGGCTGGATGCCGGCGTCTGTCGCCTGGCACTCCGGAAGAAACGCAGTCCGCAGAAATCACAAGAATGGGTAGTGGCTATTCAGCTGCTCTCAATTTGTTTTGCCTCCACATCCTCCGTATTTTTAAAATTCTTGTGATCTCATTCTAGGCTAACTGCTAACTAGGGTAATAGATTAAACTATTCCTAATTTCCT